TCATATCAATAGAAGTAAAGTCTTAAACTGAAATAACTTCGGAGTTTCTTATCTTATCGATTTGGTATGTTCAGGATGAAATCTTCAAACATATTTGCTCAATCTTATAAGCGTAGTTAGAAATCGGGGGGGGGGGGGGGTACTATATAAGAAGTTTCAAAACGAAAATTGTTGTAGTGTAACTATTTAATATCCATCTGTCCAACGGCGCCGGTGGTGTAGTGGTAAGCGTGATTACCTCTCACCCCAGCAGGCCTGGGATCAATCCCAGTCGGCGCCGCCGGGATGTTCTGAGGCATAACATCTCTGATCACGCCTTCCTTCGTTTGTTAGTGAGGAGATGTTGTTTGAATTATTAGTCCAGCTGCTATGTCATTTCTATATAAAGCTTTTATTTGAATATTAAACTGCCATTCGGGCCACCCGCATATAGAAAACACAGAAGTAGTCGTACGTCAAAAATAAAAATTAGTAGAAAACGGAAACTGTGAGTTTCGTCTCAGACACAGGTACAGTCAGATTTCGCTTGTTGGGCTATGTTTCAGTTGGGCTCCCAAGTCTAACGTCATTTCTAACAGTGCTGATTCCTTTTCGAATTTTTGACCGGCTTCATGCAAAACCCGATAAACGAGTGGAGTAATGATACACGTTATTTCAATTGGTTGTCAACATGGCTGAATGAGGTGTAAAACTAATTTCTGACTTATCAAGAGATTCACCCGAGACCTAGTTCAACAGCAATATTTGCTTCAGGGGATGAAACAGCATCGAAAAGAGTACCTTGAGAAATCGTAGAATATAATAAAATGAAATATAATCATTACAATCCTGACATTGTATACTGCACCAAAAAAGTAGGGAAGAGAATGGGGGTACTCGCTTTCAAACTGCTCTTATGATATTGAGCAAATGTTGTTGAATAACCCATCAAAATAACTCGAAAGATGGGAAACTCCGAAGTTATTTTAGCCTTTATGTTTACTTTCATTGATATAAGTGAGGGGCGGAAAGGATACAGTAAGCTCCCCCCCATATCTAACTACGCCTATTAAATGTAGCGCATGCTTTTGAATACATCTGAACATTCCAACTTGACAAGATCAGAAACACCGAAGTTATCGCAATTTGAAGCTTTACTTCCATTTATATCAGTGAAGGGGGCGGGGTATAGTTAGCCCCCCCCCCTCATCTCAATACAAGTTTAAAAAATAACATATCTTCAATTTTTTCACATTATTGAGAATAACATACGTCCTTTCAAATGCCGTAAATAAACTTTTTTTTTTGTTTGCCCTAACCAGCAAACGATATTGACAAACTTTGTGCAGCAAAAATTTACGCCTTGTAAAGATCTAAAAGTTATTTGAAGACACCTTTGCTGAGAAATTTGAAATAAGAAAACTAGAGCAAAACAATTGTTTTTTTAGAGGCACCCTAACTCAATTCAAAAAAATAGCTCTAAATCGGCCAATTTAAGAGATACAAAAAAGTTTTTTATACAAAGTTGCTTGAAATTAGCTCAGCTATAACTTTGTTCAATAATGTGTACCTTAATTTATTCAAACAAAAAAGTTAGATTTTTGATTTTAATGATAATAAGAACCACCCTAGAATTTATTGTCATAAAAATGAGGGCCTAACCATTAAAGACAACTTTGTAGAAGAAACTTTTAGTTTAAAGTTTCAATTTCAGGCTCAAAACATATCATTTTTTTTTGTAGTGATCCAGTGGCAGCACTTGCTTAAACTCTACACTGGACCCATTTTATTGATAAATTTTGCTTCTATGAGCCTCTATTTTAAATCAACACACAGACGTTCCTAGGCTATGGTGCCCGTTTGGTCACTGTTGTTTTTGTGCTGATCCAAATAGTTTTGATAATATAATTGCGCATTCTTTTCTTTTTTTTAAAGGTTGATTTTTGTCCCAGTCTTGTCTTCTGTCGTCACTTATTTTGTCATTTTGTCTTGTGTATTAACCCCCACTTGTCTTGTTTATTGTGTCAACTTGTGTCTATTGTCCTTCCCCATTTGTTTTCAAACTCGTTCTGTTACTCTGTCATGGCTAATTTCATTGATATATAAAAATAGAAATATCAATTACAGGATAATATGGTTGTTTCTCGATTACTTCTTCAAAGGGAAGCACCAGCTCCTGCAAACAATGCATCCGATCGTCGATCCGGCAGCTCGCACACGCCTACCAACACCACTAACAGGTAGAGGAAAATTTCCCTATCTGATGATAGTGCTAGCATGAGCCATCAGTTACGCCAAATCGACGACCAAACGCGCCGCCTACAAAAGCCGATACGCTCCCTTGAAAAAGTTATCGAGATTTCTACTAATTAATGAATTATAGACAATTACCTCTCATGATCCTTGGCTCCACTATGATTTTAACTTACTACTTTTTGATTATTTATCAAATACCTCTCCGAGTATATAACGCCCCGATGCCTTGTTGATTTCTGGTCTCATTTCAATTGGTCCTGAATTTGTTTGATATCCTGTTCGAAGTTATTCTTTTCCTTCTCCTTAGTCAATTGAAATCCCCGTGTCTCACGTCATATGATTCGCCATTCATAAAGATAATGGGTTAAAAGGGAGTAAAACATACATAAAGGTAGATTAGTATTAGTTGTACTTGATCCAAACACTAGAAAGAAGCATAGATAACTTAGTAGGAAAATAAAACTAATATATAACTAGTGAAATGGATAAGTGTTAGTTCCGGGATCATTTTAGTGTTAGTAGTTATGTTAGTTTTGATCCGTATTCAGTCCTGCCGGCCCCTCCAGCACTATTTGCAGCAATTGTGATAAGATTATGCGACACTGCTACTACTACTACTATGTTAGATGTATGAGATGTCAATTTTCGCAACGCAATGTCTTTCAATAAATCACTCAATCATTTTGATGTCTGAAAATTTGCTCAAAAGGGTTTTGTTGACACATCATACCTTACCTAAAGCACAACAATCCTAATTCTTATTTCAAACCTATCAACATATTTAACACATCTTTCCTAAAACTTTACTTGTTCGTAAGCGTCTGGTTGAAGATATGACTTTCGCTATTAACATTGCCTGTAATTAACAAATACACTAAATAGGAAGATTTATTATACAACTTCAAAAGAGATGAACTAGCCCCAGGCTAAAAATCTTTATAATAAAGATTAAAAAAAAAAAAAAATATACAACTTCAAAGGCTAGCCGCCTCCCTAAGCGGACCCCCGCGTCCTATCTCTTATGTTAATTAACTTTCTGAATTCTCTAATTGAAGTTTATTTAATAAATAACTGAAATCTCTAATCTACCTTCACAATCATAACCCATGCTTTTAAACTTAAATTTATCGTGTTTCAAGTACTTCTGGCTTTGACATATATTAATTATATCTTTGTTCGTCCCAGGTGACACCTTCAAGTGACTAAAATGCTTCACTTTGAAGTAAGTTTCCAAGCTAATTTTAATTTGTATATTGTATATTGTATAAAGCACAAATGTTCCAATTACGCTCTCACGTTTCCACTATGTCGCACCACAAAAATACATATGGGTATGTCACAATAGAAGCACACCACAGTGGAAATCCCGAGTCATAGTTCAAACACTTATCCCAAATCAAAATGAAGCACATATAAGATTAGTTACAATACCATGTATAAAAATGGTGTTTAACATTGTTCCCTGAGTAATACCTCAATGAAAACAACAATGAAAGCTTGTCACGCAAATAGAAGGAGACCAATGGGCACTTTCTGAAATATTTCAATAGTATAACTCCCTTGCAAACCCAAATAAATCTATCGGCGTAAAAATAAATAAATTAAGAATGATTTGCGGCAAAACCCGCCAGTATCACACCCAACGTCAGTGCCTATACTACCCATAATCGCATATCAGTCCCATCTTTGCTTGATTTCCTATCCATATGGGACTGATATGCGATTATGGGCAGTATACGTAAGCGTACTACGACGCGGCTCTCAATCGAAGAAGTAACACTAAAAAGCATGAAATTAAGCCCGCCCACCAGCATCAAGGTGCAAAAACTAGCCAAGAAGGGGAGGGTATTTCAGGCTCAAAACATATCATTCCACCTAAATCTGCATTCTGGACCACTGAGCAGTGTTAGTTCTAGGTATGATAGTGTAACAAAGCTTTTAAAAATATCTCGCCTTCGCATTATAGGAGCGTTAGGGCATCAATTCAGTTTTTGTCCTTGATTTGTTTTCCGTCGATCCATCAACTCATGAATGACCTCATGTGATCAGAGATGTTATGCCTCAGAACATCCCGGCGGTGCCGACTGGGGTTAGAGGTAGTCACGCTTAAAACTACACCACCGGCGCCGCTAGAAATGCAGCTTATCGGGTACCAAAACGAATCCTGCTGCAAACCCAACCGTTTTATCCAACATCCCAGTGATATCTCGTGGAAGTGCAGAGCAATTCTAACACAGCGGGTATCACATCAACACATTCCTACCCATTCCTTTCTTGACCTTCTAGCTGGCGCTGCTATTATCTAGTTTGAGGTCACCACATTGAGGATGAATGCTAGTCCCAAGCATCGTCTATTGGTTATATGTGTAATTGTAGCTGATCTGGCAATAACAGAGTAGCATCCGCGGGCGGTCAATCATGCTCATGCTTTTAATTCCTTTATTTAACGCCGGTCTCTGTTCCGCAATCTAGTGACAATCACTGACGGACATCGATTGCCATGGATTGAAGACAATCGAATGTGCGGGAGGCAGCTTCCACACCTGCGTAGCATATCGCATCCATCAACACACATGGGCCGGCTTTACTTCCCTTCCGAAGGAAGACGTGACCAGAGATTTTTATGCCTCAGAAAAATCCCACCGACCTCGGCAGGAATTGAACCCATTGGGGTGAGAAAGCAGTCGCGCTTACCACAACACCATCGGCGCCGGCCTCTCCCCCCTTCAATGTTACTATCACACTTTATTGTCATTCAAACATACCAATAGCTCTAGATACAGCTAGCTGTCCATTAACACGGTAAGAACCATTCCAGTTTAAGACTACTCCTCCCATTTTTTCGATTCGTTTACACTCGCTCTGCAAATGACATTGAATAATTAACATGAATTGCTCTCGGATTACTATAACATGCAATATGTGTGGACATACTTCTAGCGATGGAACGTGTGGTGACACAATTTGGCATACTTTTCCTTCGCACACTAGCAGAGCTTGTGAATCACCGACCCATCCTACGAACAGACGTTTTTCAGTTGCACGATAAAGGCACGCTAATGCCGTAGTCCCACAGTATAGTGCCTATTGATAAAATAATATTGATCAGAATTGATACGCACAGAGCATATATGTATGAATTTCTACTTACATGTTTATCAGATTTATCTATGAAGGCCGCGTCGGTTTTCAAAAATGATTCTCTAATAGCTTCATCAATATTGTGCGGATATTTTGAACTTTTGGCAATGTTGTAACATAGGTGGGCTGCTGTAAAAAAGGCGGCATCTTGACCTCCATGACCGTCAAATACACCGTAGAAACTGGTTGGCTCGGAATCTTTAATGGCAAACATTCCATTAAAATCACTAATGCACACGTGTCGGTCTTCCATTTTTCGTCGCGTATTTTTTATAGCTTTCACGCAATGTCGTGGAGTGTGTGATAATACTGAGGCAGAACTCTTCGTCAAAATTTCGTTTAGTTCTGCATTATCCAGCAATCTTTCGCAGATACCGTTAGTATGAGAAATAACTATTGCACTAAGCTTTAGTGGATTGTATGCTAGAAGAATAAAATAAATTAAATATGTAAACATTATGATCGTATAGATAATTTACCATAGCCATCAAAACCACATTGCTTGGGAATTTTAGTGTAAGATTTTTTCATTTCCTGGCCTGCTTCATTTATTATGGGGGCCAGTAAAACTTGAGGGCATTTCCTACAGAACACAAAAAGGATATGAAATGAATGTATGCTGCTATAATATATAGGTATGTATAAATATAGGGTAAGGTGGGGCAAGATGGGTCAGCTAGTACATTTATTAATCTATTTGTTTGTCAATATCAACATGATCCATAAAACCACAATGATGGTTTGCTTTTTCAAATCAACATTGGGGCTACATTAAGCCTGTTGATATTGACAATCAAAAGTGTACTGTAGTCTTTATCAAAGTTAGTGATTTGAGTGACCATGCTGAAGAAATAAGTGATCAAATAGTGACTAAAACGTGACCTAAGAGAAGAAAAGTAGTCGATGGCACACCAAATAAATGTTTGATGTTTTATACTTATTTAATTAGTATCTCAAGAACACTTATATATGATATGAACCTTTGAAGCGAAAAAATCAATAGACAATTTATGAGCAAACCCACGGTATTAGGCAGGGTTACATGAAAAACTCTGGTAAATTCAGGAATCCTAGAAGAATTTATTTTTTCCTGAAAATACCGGGAAGTCTTAGGGAGAATTTAATAATTTTCTTACTAATAATATTTCAAAGAAAACCATGCATTTTAAAATAGGGGAAATGGATGTAATGTCGGCCTAAATGTCCCTAATTTGGGCCCATACATAAATTCAGCAATCGACTAAATTTTCAATAGCGACCAAAAATATCCGTTAGTACCATCCCAATGACGCGTTCAACTAGATAAAATTGATAAATAGCAGATTTTTAGCGTTGGGCCCAATCTTAGGTCCATTAGAGCCATTTCCCCTACAAAGATTTAATTTTAATCAAAAGTTACAGATTCAGAGTGGATTAATCTTCAGTAGCAAATACATTTAAAAAAATCAGAGGCTTGAAATGTTATTTGTTGGTTCTGGAATATGAATATTTCTCTTCTTCTTCTTCACATTTCAAGGTTATTGCTTATTGCATATCAGCTTATTATGTGCTCTCAAATTAGTGCTCTAGATGCACTTCCACAGTTATTAATTGAGAGCTTTCGATGCCTACCATTTTTGCATTAGTTTAATTGTGTTGCAAGTACAATCATACTCTATGCCCAGAGAAGACGAGAAATTTTCGAACCCAAAAATCTAAGACCGGACCGGGAATCGAACCCAGCCACCTCCAGCATATTTCCCACAAATTTTAAATTTGGAGAGTTTTTGATATTCTGGACTAAAAAAAATCTTGAGTGAAACTCTTCAAGTCAAACACGAACTCATGGAATTTAATTATGCTTTCTAAGGCCCTCGTTCCAAGGGTGTTTTGAAAAAATAATCTGTGAGTGAAACAGCAAGTGCAATCTGCTGTCAAGGTAGTGCTGACGAATTTTAGATTCCATGTGAAGCCTGAGATAGTTTTGAGTAGAATTTCAAGAAAACCCTGCCTCGTATTAAAAATTAATTTTAATTAAAACTCATAAGAATTTCTGAGAAGCAAAACAACAGAGGAAAATTCCAAGGGAATTCAGAGGATAATTTAATTTGTGATAATTTTTGAGAGAAAATGAATCCGAAGCAGAAGTCCTTGGACATTTTTCGAGAAGGGAGTGAGGATGATGCTAAAAGGAGGATTAAAACTTGAATGCATAGTGTTGCCATTTGGCAACATACCTATGTTTGTCAACAACATTTTAATAGCAAGCGCAATATAAATCACAAGAAAAAAAAAATAAAATCAAAATAAAAAAAAATCATACATTTAAGAGTTAATTCCACGAGATCTTCAAAGGAATTCCGAAAATAATTCCAGGAGAATTTGTCAAATAAATTATTAGAAGATCTAATTACTTAAGGAAAATGCAAACAATCTTAGTAGACTTTCAATGTGAGTGTTTCGGGAGAATACAAAGCGGATGTTAAGGAGCACTCTAAGTAAATTTTCATGATCACCGTCAAAAATAAAATGGAATATTCTGAGGTCTACTGAACTACTTGAACGTTCTCAAAATGTCCTTGAAGTTGACGAAACTTGCTTGAAGTGCTTTTGTAGTTTAAGAAACTAGCCTGATGTTCACAATATTTATCATCAAATTTTTAAACTGCCCTGGATTTTTCGGGTTCCTAATGTTTCCTCAATTATCCTAACTTTCATGGATCGTCTCTAAAGTTTTAACAATTCGCTGAAATTCACGTAACTTCTTTAAAATTTCTGTAATTCCTCCAATGTTAACAGAATTGCTCGGAGGTTCTCTGAGCTTTCTTGAAGTTCTCGAAACTTCTTTAAAGTTTTTTGCAGATTTCATGAAGCTTGTTGTACTACCCTGAATTGAATTGAACTGTCCTAAACATTTTAAGTTTCCGTGAACTTCTGCACTTAAGTGAAGACTTCAATAATGTTATTAACATCTCTGAAGTTCTCTGGAAATCTGGGACAGTTTAAGGTTCCCCTTAAATTTTTTTTTTAACTATTGGTACTGACCTCCCCCATAAATTCCTCCTATTTTTGGAGGTTGCTAAACTTCTTTGAAATGCTCCCGCATTTTGCTAATGTTCATGAAAGTTCCTGAAGTTCCATAGAAGGTTTTCGAAATTTTTATGAAGATCTCTGCACTTCTGTGAAGTTTTTAGAAATTTCTGGAACTTATTTGAGCTCCCGCAATTTTATTGGACTCAAAACGAAATAATTCATATAGTTCAACGATTTTCACTAAAGTTCTCAAAAAATTTCTGAAGTACATTGAATTTTTTCTTAAATTATTGACACTAATTCATAACATCTTCAATAATCTAAACTTTCTTGATGTTATTAAAACTGCCCAAAAGATTTCTAGATTTCCTCAAAGCTCTCTCAATTGCCCTGAAATTATCAGTATGTTTATAAGAACCCGCAATTTTGCTGAAATTAATGAAATTGCCATGGAGTTTCCAACGTTTTCCGTAATTTTTAAAAACTTTATAAACCCTCACGGAAATTTGTTCAATGTTACGGCAAATTTTCTGATATAAGGTACACCGGGGCAGGTGGGACCTAAACATTTGATAGTTCAGCATTATATGCGTGTGTTATTAATTATTATTTTAAATTTTTAAAAGTATAATAATTATCTGTTGGCATCCGTGCATAAGCGTATACACATAAAACCCAGATACCTAACTTTAAAACAATTTCAATGATAATATTTTAAAAAAATGCGCAATCCCCATTCACCGGGGTTTGGATTTTGAATAAAACTATCGAAAAATAGAAATTTATGGCTTAAAATCAGCAGTATCATAATTCGTCATATGTACAGGGTGCGTGACGAATTTTTGCAGTAAATGGCATATTTGAGAAAAAATACACCAGTTAGTTATTCTAGCAATGAATTTTGTGCGATTTATTTTCTTTCGCAACATATGGAAGTTGTAAGTAAATTTATTCAAAAAAATTGCCTTCCCTTTCGACGACTGCAGTATGCACGCTTCCGGAAACTGCAGTATGCACGTTTTAAAATGTTTCGATCCATAGATGTCATCACTGTCTTGATTTTAGCTTTTAGCGACTTAAGTGTGGTGTGAGGGGTTCTATTGGTATCCCGTTGGACGACGCCCTATACAAAATAATCCAACGGATTGATATCGGGACTGCTTGGGGGCCAAATTTCTTCCTCCCAAATTTACGAAATATTTTCCGTAAGCCATTTCTGTGCTTTATTAGCAGTATGAGCAGGTGCTCCGTCTTATCACTTTCCCAAGCCTTTTTTAATATTATACACTGTTCTTTCAGACACATTTACTGACCGAATTATTTCTTTCATGCATACTCCGGCACGCAACAAAGCAACAACGGCTGACATATTGCTCTCTTGTTTCGACATCTTTACGTTTACTCAACATTGTTTGTTTAAATCTTACACTTAACAGTATAAGCTATCCAGTGCTGCCAAATATATCTAAATCATGATGCACAAGCATGAGAAATTACTATTTGAAATTTACTGCAAAAATTCGTCACGCACCCTGTATAAGTGCAAAAGTACATATTTTTAGAAAAGGATAAAAAAAACCGTAACGCTTCGTAAAGACAGTTGAATACACCAAATAAATGGTCGCAGCGCTAAAAGTACCTAACAGAAAAGTCTCTAAGTTAATATATGTTTTTTCATCTATTTTCTCAATTGATGATGAAACGAAGATTTATTGTCCTTAAAAGTTTTGTAAGCATACTTCTTAATGTGTCAGTAAATACATATTCTTTGTTGTTGCTAAATCTGGATGCAATTTTGTTTTCTCCCTTTTTATGGTACAGACTTGTTGGTCTATATTTATAGAGCAAATTTATTACTGACTTAAACCGAAGACAACATATCAAGTAGACTGGCAACTCTTCCAATTTATCATACGTCTGCTATGAGACAGGTACAATCGCGTCATCTGCCGCTCGAAGGTAAATGCTCCGATCGACTGCTACAGCGATGATTCCAACCATAGAAGAAAGGTGTGTGTATTTGCTTATTCTTCTATATATACTGTATTGCTTCCACCTTCGCCTAAGCGCAACACGGTAATCGCAAAAAAAAAACTCTTTTATAACTATACACTGGAGTCGCTTTTTACGCGGGTGATACGTCCCGCGTAAAAAAAAACCGCGTAAAAAAAACCGCGTAAATTCCGGAATCCGCGTAAAAAAAAACCAAAATCCGCGTAAAAAAAAAACCGCGTAAATTCCGGAATCCGCGTAAAAAAAAACCGCGTAAATTCCGAAATCCGCGTAAAAAAAAACCGCGTGAAAAAAAAACCGTGTAAAAAAAAACCGCGTAAAAAACGACTCCAGTGTATAGTACGCATTTTTGAAAGAAAACGGGACTACCCATAAAATGACTCAAATTTTACACATTTATGAGTAATGTCTAGTACAAAAATGAATAAAATTTATGCATTTATGAGCGTTAGCGTTGTTATGATATACTTCGTAGATTCGATACTAGTGACACTCACGTCTCTTCTGAAATTCTCAGTTGACTACTTTCAGGAATAATGCTGGGGAGTAAACATTGGT